TAAGAATTGGGTGTCACCACTTGAAAGTCCCAAATGTCAATGCCATAAATGAGACGAAAGTTTATTTCGCATACTTACGAGGAGTACACTCGATGTAAAGGACGATCCCCTTCCGCTCGAGGGCTCCAAGTTCCCAGTAAACCATCCCACGCGGCTGTGCCCCTCAATGGCTGCTTCAGCTCCAGCCATTAAATATTCAGGCTTTTGAAGAACCAAGCAAGACATACAATGCGACCTAGACATCATCTAAGAAAAAAAGGTACGGTTAGATTGTGTTTTAGTTAATCAGGCTCCTACCCCTGTGGGCATAATAAAGAAGGCTGAGATGGAAGATAGCAGCTTAATGCAGGAGGGAGACAGGAGCAGACAGGATGGCTTCCCAGTGGAAAGCAACAGTGGAGCTGGGGAACACAGCCTACAGGTTTTGAGATGGGAGATGAAAGGATTGCTAATGTGATAATGATAGATGATGCAAAGTCAGGAGGATTTTGGCTTCCTCCTGACTGTGAGTAAGTATGATTAAATGCTGTCTATTCCGAGGTAACATCATTAGAAAAAGGATTTATAAGACAGAAACAGGTTCATAGAAAGGAAGAGAGAAAGGGTGAATCCTGTAAGGTGTGAGGTGTAAGCGCAGTGTGAAGAGGTTTGTTGGATATAGTTGAAAAGGGGAGAGAGAGAGAGAGAGAGAGAGAGAGAGAGAGAGAGAGAGAGAGAGAGAGAGAGAAGGAGGGGGGATAAATATATCTAGATCAGTCCTATTAGGGAATGAGATTATTTACATAGGCAATTCTGGGAGCTTCCTCTTTTCTGATTAATCAGGAATTCCGGAGGTGGGACTGTGGTAAGGAGGGCCTGATTCTGTTTCCATTCCCATGAACCAGAACTCACAGAGAAGACCTGGTTCTCTAGGGTCCTTGTGTTGGTCGAGTGCACGTTATGACTGTGCCAATAATGATTTATCACCTATTACATCTTCACTTCAAACTTCACAAATTACATACAAGATATAAAAACTCAATTTTTAGAAAACCTTAGGTGAAAGGATTTTCTCTCTTACAAATAGAAAGGCAGAGAGAAGGCCCATGCAAGTTTGTTCACCAGTACCTTTATCGTGATGGTAAAAAACTTTGTAGAAATGCTCTAACACCCACATATATTGGATATATATCTCGGGAAAAGTTCTTCACAGATCCCATTAACAGAGACTCTCCAATAGTGGTGTGCTAAACGGAACTTGGGGGTTCATTCTTTATCAGGTCCATTCTTATATGCCTTTCTCCCCCTTACTATGGACAATAGATTATGGGTTGTGTGGTTAAATGTTATAGTTACAGACATAGATGTCAGAGAAAAATAAACATAATATAGAAAGTGGTAATTTAAAGTGTAGTGTGGAAGAGAGATTAGAAGAAGTAAATTACCTCTGCAAGGGTTTAGCAAGGGCTAAGAAAAATGGAAAAATGGTCCCAAGGCAGAGAATGAGCATGAAAATGGAGGGATTCACTTTGTAGAGATCTTTAACTTTCAATGGGGTAACACTCCAATCCCATAAAACCATCACAAGTTGAAATAAGTGTGAGATGAACATATTTCCAATACACCTGATGTTAATAACATCATAGCTTAAAATACCTATATATTGCCTGCCTTTGGGGAAATATTGCATAGTGTCTATTTTACTTATAAAATTAAGGGTCAATTACCTCATGTAATTTATTGAAAACTGTTCTGAAAGTACTATCAAGGCATATGAAAATAAAAATCACAATATTTAAGAACTTTGGGTCACAAATATAGAGTATTTGGCTTGCTTGCCTTCGTGATCTGACTTAGAATTGCTTTTCTGAGCAGCATCACTAGTCTATGGTATCAGCAGCTTGGAAAGTGATCCAATGAAAACTCTGAAGTATAATTTCTTTTTAATATGCAAAGCTTTTGTACTGAAAAAAAAACACTGAAGTATAATTTCTTTTTAATATGCAAAGCTGTTGTACTGAAAAAAAATGCTCTTTTAAAAAGTTGAGTTAGAAGATAGGGTGAATAATATACAGGAACCCCACGGCAGGGGCCCAAGGGGGTTCCATGGTTGTTCAGGCTGAAAGCAACTAGTTGGTACAACAGCAGAGGTAGAAGAGTGGCAAAAGGGACTCATCAACTCAGAATTTACATTTACTCTAGAAAATAAAACTGTTAATACTGAATTTAAATTGGGGCCACAGTAATAGTGCAGCATCTAAGGCATTTGCCTTCCGTGCATCCAACCAGGGTGTGATCCCTCACACTACAAATGGCATCCTGAGCACTGCCAGGCATGATTCCCAAGTGCAGAGGCAGGAGTAGGCCCCAAAGACAACCAGGTTTGTCCCAACAATCCAAACTTTGATTTTTAATAAAAAATCTTTGAATTTAAATTTTTTCGTGAAAATGATTTCATGGTAGGTTTATAATATACTTGGAAATCAATTATATGGTGGCATTCCCCAAATAGTTTCCAAATGCTCTCTAAGTGTCCACATTAGGTAACAGTTTTTCATCAGTTCAAGCTCCAACCAACTAATTGTAGCAAAATTCCAATTAATTATGAGTCAAATGGCAGATTTTTTTGGCATGTAAAACTAACAGAAACATTTATGGCATTAACAGTTAAATGTACTTTTGCATTTATAAATGTATGTATCTCAAGGCTACTTAAATTTGGGAAAGTTTTATTATTTGATTCACAGTAAAATGTGCATACAGTACAAATAAACATAATTTTATTATTGATTTTATGTGAGTTGATCACTTGATCACTCGATCACTTGACTTCCTGCTAATCATCAATTTGCTTGAGCGGGCACCAGTAACGTCTCCATTCATCCCTCTCATGTGCTAATGTAGCCCAGTGGCGTCTGTTCGTTCTAGGAACACGAAGAGCCTCAAACCAATCGTTCAGGGTCTTGACGAAGAAGGTGAGGTGACCATTTCTACTTAATTGCCCTACTCCTAGAAAGACTTTCCCTTAGAAGATGCTCAATGCAGGTGACAGGAAATGCAAATGCCAGTTTACTTTTAAACTCAATTAGTTGACTCTTCCAAACTTAGAGTCTGCATCTAAAGTCTAAAAGTATTCATCTAAAATGTTCACCAAAAAGCATGCATTCATTAAGAAAAATTTATAAGACCTCACAGTCAGGTCAACACTTTAGCCCAGTCCATTCTTTTAGAGGAATGGATTTTATTCAACAATGCATTTTGATGTTTTTCTGGAATAATGGAATAGAGAAAATGAGAGAATGGCACCTCACAAAGGTTTCATAGCAGCTAAGGAAATTTTCTCTGAGAGAAAATCAGAGATTTGCAGTGCTGGAGACCACACAGCAAGTGGTCTACCACTGAGTTACGTGCCCATCCCCACACTGCACTCCATTAATCCCCTCTGCAATGGTACCCTTACGTAATTGTGTTTCTACGTAAAGGAAATAGGAATGGTGACCTTCTGAGTCTGGGGCAATTGGCCCACCCCAGGCCCTCCCACCTACTCCCAATGTATGATATCTGCCAACACACACGTGCATCATGTTCCCTGCTAGGGAAGTGTGATCCCAGAGGATTTTCAAGGGGGTCTACTTAGCCCACCTTATCAGTGTGTCTGAACAGACCTACTAGTGCTAGACAGGTGGGATCTACTTTGGCTTCTCTTAATCACTGACACCCACTCTTAGCTTTTTGATCTCTTGCAATCAGCACTGAACGACACTCTATAAATTAAATATTTGCTTCCATTCTGCAATCTAAGGCAAGTCACTAGGTTTTCACAGGTGAATAGAATTATGTTCAGGTCTGGCATCTGTCTCTCCACTTTCATTGAATTGCTATAGACTGCCGGCCCATTGTTCGTCAATTTGCTCCAGCGGCACCAGTAATGTCTCCATTGTGAGACTTGTTACTGTTTTTGGCATATAGAATATGCCACGGGGAACTTGCCAGGCTCTGCTATGCGGGCAAGATACTCTTGGTAGCCTGCCGGGCTCTCCGAGAGGGACAGAGGATTCGAGCCCGGCCGGCCTCCTGCAAGGCAGACGCCCTACCCACTGTGCTACTGCCCCAGCCTGTAGGAGCTGTAAGACTAGTAAATATACAGGGATGTCATTTCACTAGAGACCTGTGGCAAAGTCACAATCACCATCATTTAATATTTACTCACTGTTCCCATGGAATTTGGTTTAGGGTAATACTGTGTCTGACTTCACCAAACACCCTTGACTGTATCTGCAAACAAAATCCGAATCCTTCACCTGGCGTGCAAGTGAGAGGAGGAATCTGCTAGACTTGGCCGTGCTCTCGGCTCTCGCTCTAAGGATTCTACTATATACACAAAGGCATTCCCCCTCTGTAACTGCGCGCCTCACCCTAAAGTGATCCATCGGAGGGTGTCCCACGACGTCAAGAAGAGCAGAAGGGACTCACTACATTTTCAAGCGCTTGTTTTCAGTCATAGAACCTTGGTTTTCAATGAACCAAAAGGTCCATTCTATTGGGGCATTTCCCAGAAAAGTAAGGTTGAGCTCTACCCCGTACTGGGGGGAGGGCGGGAGGGGGCAATGTGCCCCTTAACTTAAATTTAAACTTTGCCACTGGGTTTCTGGAAGAAGCACCAACACAGAGTGCAGGCAAGCAGGGCCCCAGAGCCCGTGAGGATTCCCAGGCCTCCTGCATCACAGAGAAGCATCCTTCCTGGGCATCCTCTCGCGGGGCCCTCCTCACCCCCTGAAGGACCCTCTGTCCGGTCCGCCCGCACCTGCCTGCAGGCGCGCCCAGTTCCCCCGTCTCGGGGCACTCAGCGTTCTTTTCAAGTCCTGCCGATTCACAGTGGAGCCCAAGAACCACAAAAACGGGAATCAGAAAGGCCCGCGCCCAGCGACCCGGCCGGGGCTCCGCCGCCTGGTCCCCCGCCCCGCCGTTGCCATGGCCACACTGTGTTTAGGGCCCCGCCCCCGCGCCGGCCGGCAGCCAATCGCCGGGCGCCGAGCGGTTGCCCAGGCGACGCCGTGTGTTGGGGCCGCACGCGCGCCGGGGGATGGAGACCCAGCGCGGCTCTCCCCGGCCCGGGACTCCGGAGGCTCCGAGCAGCCGCGCGCCGCTGGACACTGCCTGGAGGGTCTCCTGACCGGCCGGTATGAACCGCAAGAAGCTGCAGAAGCTGACGGACACCTTGACGAAGAACAGCAAGCACTGTGAGTCCCCGCACGCACGCCCCCCAGAGCAGGGCTGATCCGCGTGCTCAGGGCGGCAGGGGAGCGGGGGCACGGCGGGGTGGGCTCGAGTGCGCGCGTGGTGTGCGTGCAGAGACCCGGCAGGTTCCCCCAAGTGCCACCTTTCTACTTGCCTAGCCGGGCCTAGTCTCAGGACCCCCGGGTTGGCCCAACCCACTGACCAAAGATAACCCGACTGCACATTCTAGCAGACCATCACCTGCAGCGAAAAACGACTCATCGAAATGACCCTCCCCGCACGCACGAGCGTTTCATGTACGTGGACAGACTGAGCGCTCCTCGAGGAGTTAGATCTTAACAGGGGCACAAACGCTCCCCAGGCAGGCTGGAGCGCTGGGCTAAGCCCCCCACACCAGCCCAAGGGGCCACTGGGAGCGACCACCAAGCATGGAGCCGGGATTAGCCCCTAAGCAATATGCAGTGAAGAACCCCAAGCCCCCAAATCAAAACAAAACAAAACAAAAAACGTTCTCTTCTTACCCATCCATTAGCGTTTTTCTGATTTTAAGTTATTTTTATCTTCTGTGTTTAAATACACATATTTTTTAGCGTTTCAAATACATAGCTCTGTCACGTTAAATACATTCTCCATGGAAACTTTATACCCACTAAGCCATAATTCCTTTCACTCCCTTCCCGCAATCCTTGACAACCAACAGTCCATGTTAGGTCTCTGAATTTCATCACACTCAGTTTATTATATGAATGAAATCACAAAATTTTCTGCTGTTTTTGGCTTGGCTCATTCACTTTAAGGTTCATCTCTGTTATATCATGCATCATAAATCTCCCTTTAAAGGATGGACAATAATCCATTGTATGATATAATGCATATTGTTTTGAAATTCGTGCATTTATGAACACTTTCAAGATTTTGGTTAATAATATTCCTCTAAATTTCGTTGTCTGAGCTTCTGAGCTCTTGAGTTCAGTCTTCTGGGCATTTACTTAGTAGAGTAACTTGATCTACGTATAGCTATATTTAATTTTTGTATATTTCCAGTAGTGTAACCAGATGTATGTGCACCTATGTTTAATTTTTTGAGGAAATAACATGCCTATCATTCTACAGAAATTAATAGAGTTTTTAAGCACAAAACTATTTTATTATTAAATTTATTTATTACATTTTCTAAGCTTTTCAATGTTTCTCTTATGTTTAGCTTAGACCAGGAATCACACACAAGCCTCTCCTAACCTAAAACATGAACAATAATCCCCCTATTTCTGTGTACTGTCCTCTTTTGAAGGTCCATAGATTTTCTTATTTTTTTGAACCATGACTGCAAGTTTGTATTATTTTGAAATAAAATATTTCCTCTCTCCTACTAAACTCACTTTAATCCCAGCTTGTAACCTTTCCACCTATGATGTATGCCAAATGAGAATCAAAATACAAATAATTTACTCTCTTTTTAAACATCACTTTCATGTGATTATATATATGTCTGTGTTAGTAGGTGTGTATATGTATACCTTAACTAAAATTAAAATTTTTCTTTCTTACAAAATACCACTGAGTAGCTCTAGATTATATCTACAGCTCTTGTACTACAAGGTCCCCAAGAAACTGCTGAAAGTGGCCCCCAAGCATCAACAGATTTGGTGCCATGTAAAACAACCAGCCCCGTGAAATATTAAATAGCAACATGGTAATTTTCACATTATCTAAAATAAGAATTATATAGATCTTATATTACGTTTGCACACTTTAATGAAAAGTAGGTGACTCTTATTTCTGAAATATTGTTTATAAATTCTAATGTGAAATGAAAGTTATTGTCTTGTGTTTCAGGAACCAAGTATCTATTTCCAGGGAAAAGTTGAGTTGGAAATCCCATGAATGCCTGTCATCAAAATGCTGGAGAAAGAGTTACCATTCTTAAACATCACCATCCTTACTTTGAATCACACATCACCTGCCTTATAAAGTTTCAGGCCTGACTCCACAAATTTTGTTCAGATAACGGGCTAATATTTCATACATAGGAATGAATATACATCTGTTCAATAGTCAACTCTTCCATGAGGGAAGGCTATTTCTCTTATTTTCAAGCATCGAGAGGCAGACCTTTACTAACATTAGGGTTATTAACAACAATGCAGTCCATAACTTTGTTGTTTGTCTGTAAATACATTCATGCCTAACATCAGTTATAAATATTAAAACACACTGTCCTATCATTTCCCTTTACAGTCAGTAAATTTGAAGTGAAAAGTCTTATAAATCTTTTTCATAACCTGGTGGGAGACAGAGCGGAACGGGCAGGTGTGACGCCTGGCTTAGATCGCAATGCGTTTCGAAACATCCTGCATATGACATTCGGAATGACAGATGACATGATCATGGACAGAGGTAATATGACAAATGATTCAAATTGCCTGTATGCAGCCATAGATATTTTGAAAGTGCCTTGCATTTTGACATATTCTTGGAAGGAAGCTTGATGCTGTGCCTTCTGAAGTTCACTTGAATGAAATTTAAATTTTACATTTATTGGAAAGTGGTAGGATCCTCTCTATATTGTATATTTAAGAAGAGAAGTCAGTTTGAAGAACTAAATTTCTCTTCTTATGTATAACAAAAACTCCCACTATTTCTATGTAGACTTAGTAAATACAGTAACAAAATATATTTAAATGGTTAGTTTTCTTGAGTTATGAAATATTTATAACTGCTATGCCAAAATCATGCCATATTTTATATAAAATTGCTACTTGATAATTTAGATATTCACAACTTGCTTTTTTCACAAAATATGAAAGAAAAATGTGATAGCATAACTAGAACTTAAAAATATGCATGTGAAGGAGTCAGGCTGGGGGGGGAGGGCCCCTGTGAGCCGTGGCTGAGAGAAGCCGTTTCTGGTGAGGGACTCGTGAGGAACTTGGCGTGCTGAGACACTACTATGAATGACTTGGTAAATGCTGGGCTTTAATAGAAAAAATCACAAATAGGAGAATAAATAAATAAAAGCTTCCCAATGCTATGTTCTTTTAGTTTACTTCTATGTCAACTGGGGATGTGTTATCCTAGGATCCTGACATTTTTCTAAATTTTAAACTAGTAGTGCCAGCAGGGATTCATTATTGATAATAAAATGTGAAATAAATAGTATATTGTACTTTTATTTTTCTAGTTTTTCGAGCTTTTGACAGAGACAATGATGGCTCTGTAAGTGTATCAGAATGGATTTATGGATTATCAGTGTTTCTTCGAGGAACTTTAGAAGAAAAAATGAAATGTAAGATTTCAGACTATTCTAATGGTTTGTACATGATCATTAACTTAGAAAAAGTGTTCTCTAACACAGCCAAGGAAGTGAGTTTGTGTCTGTTGTTTGGCAGGTTTGAATTCTACATTAATCTCTTTCACGGACTAAATTCAAGTGAATGATACGTTCGAAAAAATAAAAGCAAAAAATAAGTCTATAGGAGGACTTAATGCCAAACAGGACTGCATAGACACATACTACAAGTGCTAATTATATGTAGCACTGTAGCACTGTCATCCCGTTGTTCATTGATTTGCTCAAGCGGTCCCAGTAATATCTCCATTGTGAGACTTCTTGTTACTGTGTTTGGCATATTGAATACGGCACAGTTAGCTTGCCAGGCTTTGGCTTGCAGGCGAGATACTCTTGGTAGCTTGTTGGCTCTCCAAGAGGGGCAGAAGAATCGAACCTGGGTTGGCCAGGTTGGCCGCGTGCAAGGCAAACACCCTACCTGCTGTGCTATCGCTCCAGCCAATGATATGTATAATAATTTATACATATATTATATTTTGTATTAGAGCTCTTAGAGAACAATGCCCATCGTGTTCTGATGATTATTAATTTATTAATCTAATCTGATAAAACAAGGTTCAGTACACTTAATCTTATTTTCTAAGAATTCCATGGGACTGGAGTGACAGTCCCTCAGACAGGGCACTTGCCTTGCATGTGGCCAACCTGGGGTCAGTCTCTGGCACCCAACGTGGTCCCCTGAGCCCAGTCAGGGGTGGTCTCTGAGCGCAAAGCCAGGAATAAGCCCCCAGAAGCCAGGGTGTGACCCCAAAACAAACAAACAAAAAACCATTTTTTCAAGATTAAAACGGTTCAGGTTATTGTTTCCAGGCATGTTTTTTATCACTGAATGTAAGGAAACATTTTCTAAATTCTGTTAAATTTTTTAAGGAAGATTTAGCTTTTCGCTATAGAAATTTTATTTCTATAAAATAAAAGAGTTGATAAGAGTATAAATAACAGCTTCGTTTTGAAAACTTTATTATAGTGAATGTTTATTTAGTGATCGTATCAAATTCATGTTTCACTTTCTTTAAAGATTGCTTTGAAGTATTTGATCTGAATGGTGATGGATTTATTTCCAAGGAGGAAATGTTCCACATGCTGAAAAACAGCCTTCTGAAGCAGCCTTCTGAAGAAGACCCTGATGAAGGAATTAAAGACTTGGTTGAAATAACACTGAAGAAAATGGTAAAAGGGGATGATATAGAGTTTTATATTGAAATTTAGGGCCCAGATATGGGATAAAAATAATAATTCAATTTATAAAAATTAGTTGCCTACTTAGTGAACTAAACACTTGGACTGTGTTCTTTTATTATGATATTATCAGTTTAGTTCAGTTTCATGGTTTAGTACATCTTCTAAGAAATTTCTTCCATGAACACTAGACCATTAAAGCATTTGCAATTAGCATTTGACATGACTGACACAATCATCACTGCCTAGGACCGGGACCATGACGGGAAACTGTCTTTTGCTGACTATGAAGGGGCAGTCCGGGAGGAGACCCTTCTGCTGGAAGCTTTTGGACCATGCCTACCTGATCCGAAGGTAACGCGATGAATAGGAGGAGAAAGTGACCAGAATGTAATTTAAAATCAACAGGGTAGAAGGCCTTGGTTAGATAAGTAATGAACCTTGTTGAGACACAGAGAATCGCTTCTAAATAATGTCCACTAGAGACCTACTTAGGAGTATCCAGTTATAGTACACAATGGGACTTTGCAAGTTAGTTTCTTTCATTCATTCATTTATATAAGAAGTGATTAATAAGGCCTACTCTGTGTCAGAAACACTCATGAAGGGCTCAACAACTGCACTTAAGGGCTAATATTTTCCTGGAAAATAAACCAGCATGAAAATAGTTACACAATAGTATGATAAGTTTCATTATTATAATCATAATGACATATACAGTGATTCATCTATGCCCAACAATGCTGTTAACACCATGTCTTATATCTTATTTAAACTACTGAACACACATATATATACATATATATACATATATATATACATATATATATATCTATAAATATATGCCTCTTGGAGATCCCGGCAAGCTACCAAGAGTATCCCACCTGCACAGGCAGAATCTAGCAAGCTCCCTGTGGCGTATTCGATATGCCAAATACAGTAACGGAAACAGGCCTCATTTCCCTGACCCTAAAAGAGCCTTCAATCGTTGGGAAAAAGATGAGTAAGAAGAAGCTGCTAAAAATCTCAGGGATGGGAGGAATAGAGACGTTACTAGCACCCTCTTAAGTAATTAACTCGACGATCAACAGGATGACAGTGATGACAGTGACAGTGATATTTATATGCAGTAGATAGTATAGTTACCCTTATTTTCACGAGAATGCTGACAAGAAAACAGGCCCTATGAGTTCAGGTGACTTGTCCAGATTGATTGACCATTATGGAATGCCCTGTATATCCCCCAAATATCCCTGAAGTTTTGTGATCAAGAAGAGAGATTCTATTTTATTTTATTTTATTTTTGTGTTTTGGGGCCACACCCAGCAGTGCTTGGCCTGACTCCTAGCTCTGTACTCAACTGCAGTGCTCCCCAATCCTGGGAGAGGACATCCAAACCGGCAGAATGAAGGAATTTGTAAATGGCTCATGGCACAAGAAAAGCTTAGCTGAGTGTTTAAGGACACACTAACTAGCCAGATCAAGATGAAGGCACACAATCTAATCAAAGGTTGGGACATAGGGACGAAGGAGAGGAGGAAGAGAGCAAAACGACAAGTGTGTGTGTAGCAGAAGGCATTGTATGAAATAGACCGGGACGAGAGGTGCAGAGACAAGATACAGAGGGCCACTTCCTGTGGAACGGGTAGCGTGGATTCTTGTCTTGAGAGTCACACAGATTGACTGGAAGAGCTTGACCTCAGGAGATGTGTAAATATTACCATTTGCCAACACTCGTTGCCCAAGCCCAGACCTGCTGTCACCCACACCACAGAGCTAGAAGGCCATCTCAGGAAACTCTTAATTTTACCCCGAACTTGCTCCTCTTCTCCTTGCTCCTTGCTCAGTAAATGACATGCCCACGTGCTCACTCGATTCTTCACTAACAAATAGAAAAAATATAAATCGAAGTTATATTTAATTTCTTTCTCACAGCACTCTGAGCTATTCTTTGAAATGTCTGTACTCACGGCTGAGTGTATGGAGCACGGTGCTAGGGTGCTCCCTTTGCACTTACCCACAGCACCCTGGTTTCAATCCCCAGCCCCACACACGGTCCCCTGAGCACTCCAGTAATCAGTTCTGAGCACTGAGCCAGGAACAGCGCCCAAGCATTGCCAGGTGTGGTCTTGAAACAGAAATAAGTAACCATTTGCAAATAAATATCCTTGATCATAATATCTTTTCCCACAGCTCTTGACCACCAACCTAAATCAAGCCTCTTCTGTTTTCTCCTTCCTTACTAGTCTCCCTCCTAGAATAATCTAAAACACAGGTATTATCATCTGACTGCTACTTTGCTGGAAACTGCCCAGTGAACCCTGAAGTCTATGAAGTGTCTCCTTTCCCTCCCCACCCCAACCATGTTCCTACTCTGCCATGGAAGTTACGGCAGCCTCGCTTGTCCTCCTGGGGTCATTTTCACATTCTGGAGCCTCTTTCTGGAAAGTGGCCCCTTTCTCCAGAGCGTCACATGCCTCAGACCTCTTCTCTATTCTCTGCTGAAGTGCCACTGACCATCTTAATGAACGCTCCCCTTCCATCCCTATACTTTGCTTCTTTTTTCACCCTAGTTCTTATTATCTACCACATACTTACTGCTATGTTTACTGTCTCCGCATGTACACATAAGGCCTCTAGTGAGAGCAGAGAACCAAATAAATTTCTCTCCTTTTTTGACCTATTTCTCCATACTATGAATAGCGCGTAGTAAGGTTGATTTCCAGGAAATATGAGCGATATGATGCATGGATGGATTAATGGATCTCAGAAGTGCGTGGTAGAGTTCTGACTATGGCTCCTTCAGGTCCTCAGAACTTACATAGTTTACCTCTGGTGCCCGCTCGAGCAAATCGATGAACGGCGGGAGGACAGCGCTACCTCATTTCTACACTATCGCTTCAACCTCTTCCCGCACTAGTAACTTTCGCCTTGAATCACACAAACCTAAACTTGTCCCTTCTGAAAACAGAAAAGAAGGAAGAAGCGATAGGAGGAAATAAGAAAGGCTAATAGGAGGGAGGGGATGGGGAAAGACTGGTAGGAAAGGAAGGAAAGCCGGAAAAGAAGAGAAGAACTACGAATTTGCTTCTCTTTCCTATTCACTGGCTTTCTTTCACACAGCCCGATGCTCGAGCACCCGCCCTTGTAGATGAGCTGTGCTGTCTTCCTTCTTCCTGAACAACCCGGAAACGGCTCAGCTGCGGCCACCACATCCTCCTTGAGTCAGTCCCGGGTTTCATCTCTGGATGTCTATCATAGTGGAGCACGTCTCCTCCCCTTTCAGAGTCTACCGTGTTGGGCTCCGGAAGCTTCTCTGCTCCCACCGCCAACAAGGCTGTGTCCCTCGCCCTGGGCTCTCAGCTTTGGTGCTCACTCTCATGCAGCTCTCTGCAGTGCATTGCCCCTGTAATTTTCGGACAGCCTCTGTCACTGGGTTGAAGGCTTCTGGAAGGCTCCACGTGGGTATGTTTCTCTGTGTCACCCAGATGAAACATTGTATGTGGAATATAGTTAGTACCTTTGTCATCTGCGAATGAAACAATGCATCGCAATCACAATCATCCTGTTGTTTGTCGACTGCCTCGAGCAGTCTCCTTCATCCTAGCCCTGAGACTCTAAAAAGTGCCATATTCAAAGCTCTTTCAGGGTTAGGAGAATGAGACCCATCATTTTTACTGGTGCTTGACATATTGGGTACGCCATGGGGAGTTTGCCAGACTCTGCCATGTAGGCAGGTTACATTCGGTAGCCAGCCAGGTTGTCCAAAGTAAGAACGAGATAATAAGATGTCAGCTTCTGGGAGCTGAGTTTTATAGTCTCTGGGTCTTGGCCGTTGATGGGATTACACGGCGCTGGGGTGGGGTGGGGGGGCAGTTGGTGGGTGTGACCCCTGCCTACTGGAAGATGGAGGATCTGGATGGAGGATGCTCAGCCCCAGTACAAGAAGGCTCAAAGATCTCAGCCCCGGGACCGCATGCCTTTGCTCCTCTCCTGGTACCTTCATGTGTGTGGAGAGTGGGCTCAGCATGGTTGTGGCTGGTTCTGGAGGTCTTTGGCTGCTGGGGCTCTACTGGGGGCAGGGAGGGAAACTCAACCTGCCCCCCTCCAAGGGGCCTCGGCGCGGACAGCCAGGCGTGGACAGCCAGGAGACTCTGTGTTGTTCTCTTCTGGCAGCTGGGTTTTATAGTCTCTGGGTCTTGGCCGTTGATGGGATTACACAGCACTGGGGCGACAGTTGGTGGGTGTGACCCCTGCCTACTGGAAGATGCCTACTGGAAGATGGAAACAATGCATGAGCAACATAAATTTTCCTGCTAATTTTTAGAAGGCTGTGCTAATCTGAGTACCTTTATTTTGCAGAGCCAGATGGAATTTGAAGCACAGGTATTCAAAGATCCAAACGAATTCAATGAAATATGAATATCTTAATGTCTCTGTTGTCTCAAGCAAGTAGAAAAGGAGGTACATGCATTTTTTTTTACTAATTTAGCTTAGAAAAATGATTTTGTGTTTGGGTGGAAATTAGATCAGGACTATATATAAGTATCTTTAAATTTTGGTGAAGATGTAAGTAAGATTGGTGAAAATTTATTATTAGATGTTGAGCTGGGCAAGATAAGTTAACACTGCTATTTCTGTTTCGTCACATAAACAGTTAAAATGGACAATTACCATAAACTACTGTGTTAATGAAAAACATAGCCATTATATAACCATGAATTATTAAGGCAAATATTCTTCATGTCCTAAAGATGCTGAGTGTATATTATACATATATAAATGTATGTATTTATATATACATGTATAAATTTGTATATATGTATACATTTCATATGGATAGACTTCTAGATTTTCTTTGGAACAGTAAATAATTAAAATGGCATAAAATAAGATTGGCATCTAGCATTTAAAGAATAGACACTGAAGGAAATATAGAACAATTTAAAAAAATTAACCATTTTGATATATGACCTTATTGTATCAGGCTTTGTCCTAAGAGCTCAACTGTATGGATCTCAGTGTAGGGTTCTTATGACTCTGTCTGTCACAGTACTTAGGCCAGTCATCGGTTCAGAATACGCTCCCAGTAAATACTAGGGGTGAAAGGTGCAGAGTAGCACAAGATAAGTCTAAAATCTTATTGAATGAAGAGGAAGATGCTATTTAGCGCTAAAAGGAGATGCCTGGGCACCGACTCCAGCTGGTCTCAGGATCCAGCTGGATGTGCCCACAGCCATTGCCAAGGGTTGCACTTCACGTTTCTCTTCCGAGTCCCCCTGTGTCCTCACCTAAGTTCCATTTCTTGTCTCTGCTCCTATCCGGATGGCTTTCTGTGGCCTTTGTATGAGTTCGGCATACAAAATGACACCAATGACACCGTTATCAGGGACCATGTCCTAATACACCCTCCCAGCAGTGACCCTAGGTGAACATTTGTCCCCCTGGTGCCCGTTCTATGCAGCAGGTGCCCACGGGCATTGATAGAAGCCTAGATACACTCCTATGAGCTACTCTCTGCCTTCGCAGTAAATACATACAAAAGGCTTAGAAATCGTAAGCAGATACCTCCCTGTCTACATTTAACACATAAAGGCTAATCACAGTATGAAATACTTTTGTTACTGCAGAGACACTAAGTTCGAAAAGAATACGCTGTATAGAGAAATGAATTGTTGAATGAAATAATGAAGTCCATGAAGTGTAAACTATATGCAACTGTCTAAACATTTTCTTAAAGTTTTATATTAAGATTTTAGGTGAGGGGGGTGATGGGAGGGAACCTGGGAACACTGGTGCTGGGAAATGTGCACTGGTGGAGGGATGGGTGTGGGAATACTGTATGACTGAAACCAAATGAACAGCTTTGTAAGGGTCTATCTCACAGCAATTTAATTAAAATATTTTAAAAGATTTTAGGTGGACATAGTTGAGCCATTTGCAATTATCTATCATATATATATATATGTCTGTCAATCTATCATGGTGTAACTTTTAAACATATATAGTGATATGTCCTTATTTCTCAACAAAATTGGAAGCAAGCTCAATTTTACAATTTTCCATTAATTCAGGTGTATTAAGGTATATTTTATAGCAATAAAATTCATCTGCTTTAGGCATACAAAAAAAGCGATAGCACAGTGGGTTGGGCGTTTGCCTTGCATGTGGCCGACCCGGTTTTGATTCCTCCATCCCTCTCGGAGAGCCCGGCAAGCTACCAAGAATATCGTGTCCACACAGCAGAGCCTAGCAAGCTACCTGTGGCATACTCGATATGCCAAACACAGTAACAACAAGTCCTACAATGGAGACGTTACTGGTGCCCACTCGAGCAAATCAATGAACTACAGGAAGACAGTGCTACATTGCTATATAGATTCACCTGACATAATTTTTCTATCTTGAAGAGATAGAAATTAAGGATCACATAATTATATTTTTTAAATGTAATATCTTTCTGGTAAACTAAAAGAGGCTTAGAAAGTTATTAAATTAAAAATATTTAAAATAGCTGCCAAGAACCCTGATAAACAACATTTAAGGTTTCTTAAGGTAATTTTAAGTATACCTCTAATTTTTCACCGAGGGTACCTATATTTTAGATGATCACATTTAAGATGCTATTTTGTAAGTTACTTTTCTTATGTGCCACTATCTCATGAACATTTGTCAAATGTTGTCTAAGGTCTGCCTTGTAATGAATAGGATTCTATTATGGTGGCCACATTTAACCATGCCCCACAATTGACGATTAAATTATTTTCACATTTTACTACAGTGAAATGTGAAATTTTTACTTAAGATGGGATGTTGTAGAGAATTATTTTCATGCGCACTGCTCACTTACTAGAATAAATTTACAAAAGCATTAATGCTGGAATTGAGATTTGAATAATTGTAAGATTTCTTGGCATAGCCCCCTCCAGAATGATCTGCTACCAACGGTGCAAGAGGATGTGATTCCCCTCTCCTAGACATAGCCATTTTAACTTATTTGTCAATATCACAGACCTTACTTAGCCACGATTTTAATTTATCACTTAAAGACCCAATTTTGCATATCTGTGACTACATTTTTTTATCTTAGCTGGGTAAACATTGACTTCATCTAAGTATTACTCTCTTAGTACTTGACATCATTTACAACTAAGGATTTATTTTTAATTCTAAATCATTTTAGTGAATTTTAAGAAGATGAGGTGCTTGTCCATAAGTTTCCATATATATATTAGAGAACATACATGTCTTCTCAGCTATTGCACATCATAATCTCGAATAATTCCCTTTGACAACATTGCTCAACTCTCTGCACAGTAGAAGCGCAACTGATTTTTAACACTGAAAATTCACTCAGTAGCAAGACTATCCTAGTACCCAGTAGTACTTGAGGTAAGAGACACCTTGAGGAATTGCACTCATTTGTGGAATATAAAATAACATAATGTGAGATTGACACCCAAGGACAGTAGACACAAGGACCAGGAATATTGCCCCATAGTTGGCAGCTGCCTCACGAGCTGGGGGAGAAGGCAGCTGGGTTGGAGAAGGGATCACTAAGTCAATGATGGTTGGAGGGATCGCTAGGGATGGGAGATGTGTGCTGAAAGCAGATAAAGGACCAAACATGATGGCCTCTCAGTATCTGTATTGCAAACCATAATGCCCAAAAGTAGAGAGAGAGTATGGGGGAAATTGTCTGCCATGGAGGCCTGGGGAGGGTTGGAAAGGGGGGGATACTGGGGACGTTGGTGGGGGGAATGTGCACTGGTGGAGGGATGGGTGTATGATCATTGTATGACTGAAACTCAAACATGAAAATTTGTAACTGTGTCTTACAGTGATTCAACAACAACAACAACAATAATAATAAAATATAACAAAGAGACGCCTTGAGGAAAGAGACATCTTCCTCTTGCTCTGAACTCTGGTCTTTGGGTTTTCTGTCAGTATTGCCAGGCTTGTTCTGACTGCTTCCCACTCTAAGGGCACCGCTTGACTGAACCAAGTCCCTACCTGCCCAGAGGTCAGAACTATGGATGAGCAGACACGTTTGGAGGATTTCCTACAGACTTCCTCTCAGTGATTTAGAGAGTTGGCTTCCCCTCTCCTCCCAGTACTCTGAAAGGACGCGTGGAGAGCCAGCAGGCCCCGTATGAGGAGCCAACAAGTCCTTATAAAGAGGCACATTTCCCTGTAAGCAGCACGGAGAGGTTCTGTTTGGGAAACAATCAACCACTTTTTCTTTAACTAAAGGATTTAAGACTACCACTGAAAACTGGTAGTCCTGCATTCTTAACCTGAAATATCTTGGAGCACAACAAGATCGTACTTGTAAGAAGCCAAGCCTGCAATTGCTTGCATCATAAAATCATCCAAAACATTCACCGAGTTCCCACTTGGTGCAAGGCTGCAAGGGTTATAATAGTCCGAGTCAGGTGTCTTGCCCTGACATCGTTCGTGATAGGGCCTCTCAACCCTTCTGTCACTGGTATCATTTGTCACTGTTTGGATTAATGAACAGTCCTCTCTTGCCCCCTCCCACTCCAAAATAAGTTTATTGTTTTTAATGAGAGTAGATTGCCAAAGGAAATTAAAATCAAATATACTTTTGGACAAACTTGCAGGCTATCGAATGTAGCCCGCCCACAGGGCAGAGTCTGGCAAACTCCCCGTGGCGTACCCAATACGCCAAATACCAGTAACAATGATGGGTCTCATTCTCCTAAAGAGCCTTGAATATAATCTCAGGGCTAGGATGAAAGAGACGTTACTGGGGCCTGTTCGAGGCAATCAACGAATAACAGGATGATGATGAATGAATGAATACTTTGGAACTATGAAGAAAACCATGTCCAGAAAAGACTTGTCCTTTCAAGTCTCTATTTCCCCCCCTGTGATCGCTCTGATTATTTCCTCATAAATTCATCTTTCCCCTCTCGGAGAGCCCAGCAAGCTACCACGAGTATCCCACCCGCATGGCAAAGCCTGGCACGCTACCGTGACATATTCGATATGCCAAACACAGTAACAAGTCTCAAAATGGAGATGTTACTGGGCCCGCTCTAGCAAATCGATGAACAACGAGAGGACAGTGTTTGTGGGCTGGAGCGATAGCACAGTGGGTAGGGCGTTTGCCTTGCATGCAGCCAACGTAGCCGACCTGAGTTCGATTCCTTTTCCCCCCTCGGAGAGCCTGGCAAGCTACTGAGAGTATCTCGCCTGCATGGCAAAGCCTGGCAAGCTACCCGTGACGTATTCGATATGCCAAAACAAAACAAAAAAAGCAACAACAAATCTCACAATTTGTTGTGAGACGTTACTGGTGCCCGCTAGAGCAAATCGATGAACAACGGGAGGACAGTGCCACAGTGCAGTGCAATTCACCTTTGCTCTCCCGTAGGCCATGCAGATGTGATGGTTAATTCTCACCCAGTATGTCCAGGAGAGGGTGGAAATTGCATTTTATGCAGAGATATTTTAAAAGATACAAAAAGCCAACACATGAGGGTGTTGATTACAAATGAACCAACTGTGAAGATTGTTTGGGTAATATTTTCAAAAGAGTCAGAGATCTATTCA